GGCAGCCAAAGACAAGGCGGTCGCGATCGCCAGACACTACGACAACGTGGACGACAACGTCGACCTGGTGGTGAGGACGAGCCAACCGTTCGCTGTTCGGGTCTACAGAGACGACAAAAACGGACGATGGAAGCTGACCTACTCGTCTTTCTGGGCCCAGGCTTCGAGGAGCATCTCGTGGACTGCGGTGGGCAGTAAGGCGGCTGGGGCAGAAGCCGTTCGCCAAGGCTGGAAGTGGGCCGAGATCTACGAAGGCCTGGAGGTCTCCTCGGAAGCCAGGACGATCCTGAACAAGCTGGAGGCCTGAGCGACGGCATCTCGCACGAAAACACTGCTGGTCACGGAGCCGTTCGAGAGCAGGGGTGTCTAGTCCTCACAGCTGCAGTACCCGGCGAAGAAGCAAAAAGAGTGAGTCGCCTGAGCTTCGACAGACGAGCGTGCAAAGCCCCCTAGAGCTTTCGACCCGACGTTCCCTTGCTTTCGCCCAGGTCACTCTGCAGAGAAGAAGAACCGGGGATGCTTCCCACAAGGACTCAGTTTTTCCAGGCTGGGACCGGCTTCTGTGCTGAGCCTTGCAGTTGCACCAGCGTTGCGGATTGCCAGGTCTAGCCTAGCAGTTTCTTTGGTCGGCATGCCTGCAAACACAGAAGCTTCTGAACTTGATCTGCAGCAGCAATTTTCCGTAGCAAGGGCTTCTAGGTCTGAGTTGCTAGGGTTTTAAAGGTTAGGTTGCCAGCATGGGCCGGCCCAAACTGGCCCAAACCGGCGGCGTGAGGCCGCCAAGTGCGTGGGCTCTCTTCTGTGCTTGGGTCGCTCGCGAAGGCATCACGGTCGCTCGTGCTGCTCGTTACCGTATCCGTGGTAAGCGGATGCTTCGCGATAAGGCTTCCATGACACAGAAGTGGTGCCTTGGCTGAGTGGGGTGCTTTAAATGTATACAAAGTTCAGAATGCAGGGTTATTTGGTGGCCTCCTGACGGGTGGTGCGTTTCAGTGTTTTTNNGTTTCAGCTTTTTTCCAAGGTTTTTGGTCGTTTTAGTGTCCTACAGCTACGACTCCTGCCTCGTCACTATATATATCCTTTCTAGCATAACACGTGGGCTCCTTTTTGCTGGACATTGGCAGTAATCAGCAAAGCAATGCCCTCGAACAATTCAGAACTCTCCTGTCGATTGTATTCCAATGTAGACTCAATATCGACTTCACAATGCAGTGTGAACACTCTAATCCTAAGTCTTATAAACCCATTAAGGACAGACAGGTGCGT